GCATCGCTTCCAGTTTTTCCAATTCTCTAAAAATTATGCATTTTTACTGTCCAAGTGATAGTGGTATCCTATTAAAATGCTTCTCTCCACTTTATATTTATTACATTGGTCCCCAAAATCTTTAATGATTAAAAAATCATTCTTATTTAAACTAAGTATTGAAGCAATGTATAACATACAAAACAAAAACACTCTAAAAAATGAACAATACTTCTTGATTTTGCCGAATAAAACTATCATCTGAAATCTGAGTAGTATTGTATATATCGAATAAATAATTATGAAGTATTCAGTGAAATTTTTTTTTAAGAGAGTTAAGTAAAATTTTCAGAATGGTTTTGGTTTTAAATATTTTAATTAGGTTTTAATTTAATAAGTAACTGCTCATTTTCCATATTATGCCATTATGCTTACATAACCTATCTTACAGCAAACATTTTATCTTTCGTAACAAATATTTGAAATTTAAGTGGCTAGTCGGTAAGTATTGAGAATAAATTTGAGAAAGAAGGAAATGGTTTTATTTTAGTTTATACTACTGTACATGTCATTTTTAGCGAATGATTACTTAGTTATTTATTAAAGCGGTAGAGAACTCGAGATTTTTAAGAGAAATGTTAACTACGTTAAAGCACAATGCTTTTTTTAAAAAAAAGCTTAAACAGGTCGCTTAAAAGTGAAGTACTTCCGACTAATTAACATACCAAATAGTGTTTTGTTCTGTAATTTTAAAAATTCGACACTTATTATAGAAATAATAATTACCATTAATATTAAATGCATTGATATTGTCTTACCCGTTAAGTTCCTCAATGAAATATAATTTTTACCGCTTCCCATATTCCCTTTCTCTTCACATTAATACGATCATGCAATTTAAACTCTTTTCTTGCAGTAGTATCTTAACCTTGCCCAGAAATTTAAAAAAAAAAAAAAAAATATCGAAATCTGCGTTCCACGCAGGTATGTGAAGCGTAAGATGAAAAAAAAAAAAACAGTGTAGAAGATTATGTCACATGACAATGCTGCTTACACCTTGAGCGCTTTGCTTTTGTAGTGGAACGGTTCAGGAACTGTTGCTCTTCTGTTAACGTCTTAATTTAACCACGTGGATTCAAGCGAAGTAATTTCTGTCAGGAAACTGAGTTCTAGTTGTATTCTAAAAGTTTCCACGTGTAAAGCTGCTTAATGAGGCTTTACGATGTAATTGAAGTGCCATTGCACTTTCAGTTGTCTGAATGTGTGAAGTGTTTTCAGGACGCCGCCTATACTTCAGTGTAAAAAACTAATAACAGCCCTAGGAAGTTATCTTTCCTTTTGGGAAATATTGAAAACAGATATCGCAACATATAGCTAGCTAGCTTTCGTTTTTCAAATGATTTGATTAATTTTCATTACTTAAGATTTGAAGTAATGTACTTATTCTGTCATGCTTGAATGATGTAAAAACAAATCATCTGTATCCTTCGAACTTCGATATTAGTAATACGTCGCCTTTCTGAACATATATCCTAATGAAGTTTGAGGTGTCGGAAATATTTATTTTCATGCTTTAAATAGGTTAATTAATAGAATTAGTTACTCTAAGCCTATTTTAATTTATATGTCTTGTTTAATCGTAAGGGGAAAGAGTGAGTTCCCCACTCTGATTATTGTGAAATTGTTTGTCATCTTACCAGCTGAAACGACTTATGAGAATGCTAGATGTAAATCTTCTTTCCGAATCTCCCCCTTTCCCCTAAGTATCAAAATAATCTAAAGAGAGCTTGTGTTACAAAGTTATGCTGGGACGTCCATTTCCTATTCAATCACTGAAGATCTGGTCTTGAAAATAAAACTAACAGCACACTGAAAATTAAATTTTGATTGAAGCATAATGTCAGAAATTGGTACCGGCCTTTTTGTGAAACAGTGTATTTTGATATCTGTGGTATATTATATGATATATTATACGGCATGCAAGAATGAATTTAAGCGCCGTGAAAACCTAAATAAACCTGAGGCCCCTGAAGAATTATTTCATGCAGATTTTGTGTAAGATGGTGTAATTAGTTTGCTAATTTATTACGACGAAGAACTCTTTGGGCCTTGGTGTATGGATTCTTTAACCTAAATCTTTGCCTAAGGAAACCTAACTGTTATTTCATATATGGCAAAAATACAATAACACCCAATTAATCAACATTTTCCGCCTGTGGAACAGGAAAATGGAATGCAGTCCTAGTTCTAGAATGTATTAGGACATTTTAAGCTTCAGCTTTGAAATGATGAAATGCAATTTAAAGAATGAGGACACGATAATATTTTAATGCAAAAGTCTAAATCATGACTAACGCAGATGTAATCTAAAGAGTAATGGTAAGGCAGTCTTCAGAGATTATTTAAATTTTTTTGTCCCAGATTTAAACTTATATTTCATCAAGATATTTTCCGAAAATCTGTGTATTGGCTTTAGTTTGCAGTTTAATTTGCTATGGCATTATGTAGTCTAGGACACGAAAATGTAAAACTGAACCATTATGAACACCCATATCTGGACATCTTGAACCCTTTAGGGGCTAAAGCATCGCCCGTCTAATTATTTGCTAGTCAAGTAATTTGCGGGAAGATTCTGCGAATTCAATTATCTGCAAGTCAAAATTCGTAATAAATTTTTAAATGGTAAAAAGAGTACTGCATCCTTATTATTTCACTACACAAAACGAAAAGCCCGAATATTCTGTTAATAGTCAAACCTAGATGCTTGACTTTATTAAGAAAACCTCTGCATTAAAATAAAAATCTTCCTTACTCAATTATAAAACCATCTGTAGTTTAATCTTTTCTTTGAAATGCCATCATCTGAAGTGCAGAAAAATTAGCAAGGTGTGTAAGAAAAAAAAGTTAGAATATGGATCTTTGAAAAATAAGAAAAACTTTTTTTCCCTCTTGAGCCATTCGCGACAGGCAAAGGGAAGTGCAGTGAAAAATCACATCGTAATCACGTCTTATCTACGAAGTTCCATGAATAATGATTACTGAGGAACAGCTCCTGAAACTCTGAGGGAATGATAAAAAGACTTTTTTGCTGGTACGATATTCGGATTCTCGTATCGATTAATGAAATGGTTCTTTTCTAAGAATATCTTGAAAACTTAGCAATAGCTGCAATTTAACATTTAGAGGACCGAAAAATCATCTTTCAGCTTTACTAAATGCAAGATTTTTAAATTTGGAACATATTACATTACATTATGAGAGCAGCACTCTCGAAATGTGTTGGTGAGAAGTAGCATCATACATGTTTTGCTCATTATTCATATGTCTTTGAAGAGGTTAAAAATTAAGAACTTGACAAATGACTTTCGACAAATGCATTAGTCGTGATATAGTTTTTTCTTTCACCAGTCACGCGCTAGTCACTTTTTCGTAATTGGAGCAAAAGTGCTCATATTTATGCGAAATTTTTAACTGCGTATTGATTAATTTGTTCGAATCTGCTATTGCATTTTTAAATCATGTAATCGAAAGACACCAGCCAATTGCATTTTCTGTTAACATGTATCCTAGTTACATTAGTTTAAGAATTCAGATGTGCCTGTTGACATAGAGTAGATAAATAATAATTGGAATTAATATAAAAATTTGTTAAAATATGCAATTAAAAAGAGAAAAACTTGATGCGCAAAAGTTAAATGTGTATTAGGGGAATTTTTCCATCGATGGGAGTTTTCTTTTTATTTTTGTTTTGAACCTTTCATCTGTTAAGAAATGCATATTTATTTAGAACTAGAGTAAGCCCCCCCCCCAACGGGCTGTGTGTAATTTTGAAGTCAAGTTTGTGGAAAGTATCATTAAATAAAAAATCTTCTATTCACTTGAAATTTTTGTATTTTTGTCCTACCTATTGAAATGTAAGAATTATGTTTAATGAGGTAGTACTCCTGTTATCAATTTCGTCGCTCTTATGCATGGACAAGATAAAATTTTAAAAACTGTAGTACATATTTTACGTGCATCGCAGTTTTTAAACATTACGTATAAGCAACGCATTTATGAGATGGGTTTCATTCATTCAGTATTCCCGCATGGCTCTGTTTTATTTCCTTTTTGGATAACTTAAGCTTTATCTCTATCTCATATTTATATCTCTGTATTTCTATTTATTTATTTATTTTTGTAGGTAACAGGTACAACTTAGTCTAAATAACTTTCAGTTTAATTTCTGTTTTTCTTTTTTTTCCTAGTTTTACATTCCATATTTTCCGTCCGTAATTCACTAAAACTATAAGATATTTGTGAATATCTGCTAGAATAACGTTTAACAAAAATTTTCTTAACTTAAGTGACGTTATGTTCTTAATTTTATGGAAATTCAGAAAAGAGAAAAAAACTTATCAGACAAATTCGATTGTTTAGATAGCATTCGTAGCTGTTGTATCCCATCAGATTAAAATACTTTTTCCGCAACCTGAAGCATCCCAGATATTGCGTCTACTTTCGTCTTCCATGCGTATGTGAAATCAGTGATGCACGTTGCTTATTAAGCTGATGGATGTGTAAGAACCGATTTCATAAATTTTATTGATGAAAGAGCAACTGTGAAAAGGAGTTTCCAGATAATATTTTGGATGATTAAGTTTTCTCTTTCCCTTTCTAATAATGTAATTTATTTTTAATTCGAATGCAATTTTATCAACGTAATTTTTATTACATAGTAATTAATATTACTCTATTTTCTTGCACAAATTTAATTGTTTATTTTCGTTAAATGTTTTTCATTCTGCACTGCTGTTAAACTCAGCCACTTTCCGTATCAGCTATGAGACTTTCAACCAGTTGATCCGTTTGGATATAAAAAGAAAACAAAAATCGAATTTTTGTTTTATAAGTAGGTATTAAATGTGAAAAGAAATTTCATTAAGCTTTCTAAATTTTCTCAATTGAATAAAGTACTCAATAATAATAATAAAAAAAAAACTTTTTTTAAAGGCTTAAAAATTTACTGTATATTTTTACAGATAGCTGTCATATCCATCCCGTTAGATAATTAATTCTGCTATAGCAATGGTGGAAAAGGAAACGAGGAAAAAACTACAAGGTAAATTAATCCATGTCCCTTTATTATCATATATTTTACTATATCATGTTGCAGTTTTGTTCTTTTTATTATTTCGACTTCAATCTGTAATTTCCTTTAGCAGTGGCAGTGATAATTGCCTGTAAAAGAATACTATAGTATCAAAAATGCTTTCATTTAAATTTTAACTACTATGTGTTTGTATATATTTATAAAATTCTGCCATTTGTAACTAAACATATTTTAGCTTAAAGGATTTGAAAAAGTTGATGCCTAATTTTGTCATTTTTAACAAATTGGAATAATTTTTATTTATTGAAAGGAAGCCAATTTGTTGTTCGATACCGTTATTATGAGTCGCGTAATGTACTAATGATTTCGTTATGGCTTCGACTCATGGTAAAGGAAACGGTTGGCTGTGTGATCTGTTTTTATAGTTTTTATGCATTTATATAGTGATTATGAAATTCCCCTAGTTAGTCCTCCATGAAGACATGCCTTCCTGGGCAGATAGCTTCTGATTTATGCTTGTTTACAGCCTCTGAATGATGATAAATGAACCTAATCTATAATCATCGCACGTACTCACGGCTAATTTGCTTGCGAGCTATGGCAAAAAAATCTTCTACGTTCTTTAACAGTTGTTGAATTCGATTTATATCGATGATTGAAAGTCTTGAGTTCTCTCTTACTATATACGGGTACACTTTATTTAAGCAAAAAAACTGAGCATAAAGATTTCACTACGCATTTTAATCAATGGCCATGTTTTTTCTCCCAGTTACTTAATAAAAATCTTGGCGCTTTATTTTATCTTTTTTGATATTAAAATAAAATATTATTTTATAACTGTGTTAACTAAAGCAAAATATAATTTTATAAATGAAGACCTGATTACCAGTTTCAGGAATTTCTCTTTTTCCAGTTGAAATTTATTGAGAAAAGTAGCAGGGAAAAAAAAAATATTCACCAGAAAATATCGATGACATCCATAATAGCCAAACTGAAACAGAAGTACGCAAAATTAGGCAAAGAAGTACGCTTACTTTTGCGTAGATTTTAAATAAAACTCTATCGATTTCGAGGGCGATCTGAAACTGGTTGCTCTCCTTCAGGAGGGAAATTGCCGTTCTTGCAAAAAAAAAAAAAAAAAAAAAAAATTTGCCTCTGAAGAGCGTTTGATCGCCTCCCCCCCCCCCAATGTTGATAGAGTTTTATTCAAAATCTGCTCCAAACTAAGTTTGCTTTTTTGCCTAATCCATAAAAGTGTTTTGATTTTGTATAGATGTAGTATTTTGTCGTAGTTAAAAGTGAAGATGTTTTATTTATTTTCTTTTTCTTTCTATATTTTTTCGCGCAGTTGTTCTTTACTTTAGTCATGTGCGCTTGCTGTCAATTACGGATAAGTTCAAAAATTATATTCTCTCTCTCTTTGAGCATGTGAGTGTGTTGTTTAGAGAGAGTAAGTTCTCTTTTTGTATATTCCCCCCTCTTCTGTTCACTCATTTTCCTATCCATCACTTTGACAAGGGAGACGTCTGAATTAACATACTCTAAGAATATTACTGCTAGGTAATGATGTGATTGAAATTTAGTTCAGTGTACTCTCTAAGATTTACAACAGAAGGACATTGAAATTGTTCAGTCTGCTCACTAGAATTTACAAATTCAAGTTAATAAATTTCTTCCCGCAACAGTCTCATTCTTTCATAAAAACTATGAGCTATGTCGCGTAAGCAGATCTAAATTTACAAATTTTAAAGCTGCTCAACAGTTTTTTTTTTTTTTTTTTTTTTAATAATCTTTATTTCGAATCCATGACTTAAGTATAGAATCCTATATGTAATATTTATTACTTTCTGAGAGAAAACTTTTTTTGTGGCCTTAATAGTCCACCAACCTTGTCATTGATCGATTTTTATATAAAAACAATTAGACCAAAGAAAGCTTGACAGCCCAGTTACCTGTGATCCACAGGAAACAAGTAATACCGTTTCACCCTGAAAACCTTTGTTCCTGTTGAACAGAGCAGTAACTTATAATCTTTAGATATGCCGATACGGGTATAAAACCGAATATAAACGCTCTAGAAACGTCAATTGTTATGCCATCCGTCAACTCAGTATTGGGTGATTTTTTTTATGCTGATTACATTTGTCTAGGCTTTGCTTGTCAAGGTTCGATTATTTTTCTGTCGAATCGAAATTTGACTACAAAAGTGTCGCTTTGGTGAGCTTAGCGAACTGTTAAATTTGAAGCACTATCTCAATCAGAGTAGAAGAAATAGTTTTGTGGTTCAGGTTAATATGGATATTTGCATTAGCCTGGAGGCCGTGATTCACTTTTATGAATACCAACTGTTTCTGGATTCTTCTTCTGGTGTTGCAATTCGGGAAAGTCAGTTTTACTTGCCACATCCAGTGGTTTCTACTGCATATCTGTCTTTTTTAACATGGTTGTATTTCGGTAAAGGGTAATTTGTACTCCCTCCACTTTGTATTTCCTTCTGCCTTCTTAATGCAAATAAAAGTCTTGGATTGCGCTTATTTATTCGTGGATATTACAAATAAAAAATAAGAAAACTATAAATGATGTGTAACGCAACAGCAGGCACTAAGCTTTATAATGGGTAGAAAATTCCCACATTTAAGACTGCAGCGTGAGATTTCTTCCTGCATTAATCGTCAACTGCTATTTTGTTTCAGGTTTCTTCATACTTGGAATTCTTCTTCCTTAAGCACGCAAAGACTTAAATATTGGAGCGAATGCCAAAGAAAGAAATATTTCTTGGGTTGCCAATTAGTAATCCAACAATTTTGGGCAAGGATTTCATATTTAAATACGCATTTCTTTCGTGCACCGTGTAGTATTTTAGTAATTTTAGAGATACACTAGTAATCGAGTGGCAAAAAGTGTGAAACACTAGTAGCTTCGTCTTCTAGCGAAACAACTTGGCTGCATATTGCGCTGATATGTTTTTCTACATATACCGTCGTGAACATGAACCAGTTTTCATTGAATGATCAATCACTGTCACTATAGTTTTTTATTATAAGAATTCAAATTATTTGGTTGATCTGGCCAGTAATTAGAATTCACTCAAAATGTTGCTCATTTTTTATCCTTCCTTTAGAGAAATAGTCAATGCTATGTGAGAAATCATTTATAATTTGTGTAGTTTATCTTCCCACCCCTCTGCCCTCGCACTTTGTTGCTGATAGATCCAAGTAAAAATGAGTAAAACTTTTGTATATGATCAAAAAGAAGAAAGGAACAAAGTGTTTTTGCAACCACTTATCACATCTAAAAGCCATAAAAGCAAATTTAAGTAAGTTTGAAAAGAAAATTCGCCAAGAAAATATTAAGTTGGTAAAATATTGAGCTTTCTCGCCGCTCATATTTAAAATAGTGGAAAAAAAAATTTATTCTCATTGCTGTAAAATCATTTTCACAAATTACGCTTTAAAAATTGCATAATCAGTCCCTTTTGCAAGTTACACTTTAACTACTGCATTAAATATGTAGCAGGTAAGAATTATGCCCTTTTTGCAAATTACACTTAATAAAAGCATTATTACTAAAAAAATACGTTACCTCAAATAAATGTATTCTTTTTTACAAATTATGTTACATATAACGAAAATTCCTACATATCTTTACATTACGCCGAGAACGAAACTCTTATATTTAAGGAATTATTTGTATATTGGGTTATTGCCCTGCCAATCCGTGAGTCAATGATACAACTGAGCACCCATAACTTACCCGCATGACTTCCAGGTGACCTGAAAAGGGTTTTGCATATCATTTTAATTTTCTTCCATGTGTAACGTGAGTACGTTCAGCCTTTCCTTAGGAAGTCCTCCAAGAAACATGTTTTCCCTTCAAGACCTTTGCAGCAATAATGTGCCAGTTGATCTTAAATGGACAGAGGACTGCATGCTTCAGAAGCCATTAAAAAGAGTTTCCATAATCAGGGGAATTAAAGGATTAACGCTGGTAGTATTAAGCAATAAATTTATAGGTAAGAAGCATGAAAATTTTCCTTAAATGTAGACGGTTTTTAAGTTCGAGGCATTTAACTTATTATCAGCTCGGAGAAAATGTATTTGCAAGTGTAAAATTAGAGGACCTTAACTAAATATACTACATGAATATTCGTCCCCTGGTGCATGCATTTCAAATGTGTTAATCTGCGGATGTAAATCTTCGCAAATACGGTAATTATTTTAACTTGTGCAAATTCTGAATGAAAAAATTTTAAATATAGAATGAGTAATTTAATCTTTAAAGCTGCTTTAGGAAGACTCTCTCTGACCGGTCATTCATATCGTAACGGTTCATTGATTGTTGTGTTGAGAAATCGGTTTGAGTTTATGTGGTGCATGCCAACTGAATCCGCGCTTTAACTTTAATAAGTCACACATAACAGTCATAATGTTCATATAACCATTAATAAAAGTCTTAACAGGGTAGTTAATCTTCAAAAAATGCTATGTTTCTGTAAATATTTTGTGCATTATATACTGTATTCAATTATTTTGTCTCATTTTCCAATGATTCACTGTTGGCTCCGCTTAAAATTTAATTGAATCATGTAGACACTATTTTGCATTTGTGATTATTTAAACTCTAGAAGAAAATAGTCCCTGAATACTTGTAGAAAGTTTCAGTATTTTGCCATTATGTTTTAAAATACAGTACAATAAAATTTTTCCATCTCTCCTACTTCTCCAGGAAAATGTTACTACTAGAAGACTTGTCGGCATCCTTTTGATAGTTTAAACGCCTAAAGATGGCGTTTAATCGCTAATTTGCATTTGAACTTCTGGGCAATTTGCCCAGAAGGACTATTAATTTCGTTTTGGCTTTTTTGCGTTGATTCACTATAAACGTTGGATCACTTTTCAAATTGTTGCCACCAAATATTATTGCTAAGCGCTATATATATTTAAAGAAATTAAATAATGAAGAATCTGCGTAAATGTATGTATGTTACTCGCATTGTGATAAAACAATGGTACCAAGAGCCATCAAATTTTGAATAACGTAATCTTCCACCGAATATGGGCATCTGGAAGCCCTAATATGGAATTTGAAATTTTTTTTATTATCTATTTCATATTTTCTAACACTTTAAAGAATTTATGATTAGCAAACTCAACGATTTCAAATCGACCAGTAGCAACATTTGTACGAAAAAATAGTTATCTCCAGCGCGCGAGACTGTGTATCGGAAATTCTAAAAATAGTCTCATTTTAAAGTTATTTTGCGGTATTGCTGTTGAACTGAATTTTATGGTTTAATTGCGAAGAACATGATATTTAATAACTAAAGGTAAAGTGCAAAATATTAAAAAAAACGCCCATTTTTGGCGTAATGTAAAATCTGAAAGCTTTCAAATTTTTTTTATTAATTTTTTAGGGGAGTAAATATTTGATGCCTATATATAAATTACTCAGCAAAAGTTCAAACAGAATTGTAATTTCTGTTTGAAATATATTCAGGATATTTTTATGCAGTATAAAAAATGTAGGGGGAAAAATGAAAGAGAAATAGAATTTTGTTGTATTTTTAATTATATACAGTTATAAACATTTTTCGAACTATGTAGGCAATTTAAAATATTTTTATCATTTTAATTGCTAGATTAGGAACTATTTGCCGCTTGGAAATAAAATCCAGTAGGAATCCGAATTCAAAAAAAGTTATCGAAAATATTAGGTAAGTGGAACTAGAATTTGCTCATACTTTTTTTTTATATATATAATCTTTACTAATTGCAATCTTACATAGTTCATACAAATAATTTAGGATCCTATTCCTTCATTGTTAATAAAGGTAGAAAACTGAATTGACTCAGTACTTCTTAAAATCTTCCTTTATGATTAAAATATATGAACCTGTACTTCGAATAAACACCCAAAAGCTGTTAGAAAGTCAACTCACTAGCAAAATTGCGAAGTTACGAGAGCATTCGTAGCTTTGTGTCGTTATTAGTAACATATAAGTTATTAATATCGTTAGTAAATTACTGAAGGAAAATAATAACATCGTCTTTTATTTTTAGTTTTCAGATGTATGAAAAAAGCTATTTGACTGAATTTCGTAAAAAAGTAAAATTTTGTTCAGTTTAAAAACCGTTTTACAACTACAGTTTAATACCCCACATTTAAGTTTTACTATTTTTTTGTGACTTTCAAATAAAGAAATTTCTATCCTTGTCCTAAAATATTTTAATATTATGTTCTTTTCTACTATTTTAATACCCATGTATTGAGAACAGCTTTTGATTCAAAATTTTAGTAAACAGAATTTCACTTATTTCAGCATTATACAAATATGGCAATTACTAATGAAATGAAAGACTAGTAAGAACTTAAGAGTTCCAATGTTCATGGGAATTTCTGCACTTTTCTTAATTCCCTTTCTAACGCTTTTCGGGTCTATACGATAATATATCAAGAATACACACAGCACAACAATTAAGATGCTTAAATTTCGCAATGCGGCTGAGAAGCTGCATGAAAGGAAAAATAAGTAAATAAATCAAGGGTAAAGGAAATGTTTTATAGTAGTTATAAATTACGATTTTTATGTCCTACCCATACAAGAGATAAAATTATTAGTTTCCTTTCACTCAGTTTCATCAGTTGAGTCGGACCCAAATGCCATTTTACGTCAAAATTTTGAAACTTGTTTCGCATTGAATCATACCAGTGTTGTAAAGTCTGACGCTACTGAAGTTGTTCACAAGTCTTTCATTCAGACAAATTTCGTAATTGCTCAAAACATGTAAAAAGTATCATACATTTCTTATCTCTCTAAATATTCAAGTTGAAAATGGCTGTGAATTGCTTACTGATATCCTTTACGGCCGTATAAGTTAGATTCAATAGCAATTTCAAGGCATTCTTGTAAAATTTTCCAGCTTTTAAGATGTGACTCATTCCAAACACTGGGCAATAATCCTAACTCATTATTCTGTTAAATATGAGCCATAAGACCAGTTTAAATAGAAGAACTCGGATTCAGAACCCAAATAGATCGATTCAAACAAAAGAAACAGCTCGGATACCTACCTGTAAGGTGTAGACTATAAGAGTAACTTAAAAGAAAGAACTCGGGCTCAAATATACATACATTTGTTCAAATGATATTCAAACATAACTCTAATGTTTCTTAAATGAAGTTTATAACCGCCTCCGGTCTCATAATTTCTTAGTCAATGTGAATAATTTAAAAGTAAGTAGAGGTATTTTTCCCTGGCTGCAAATTGAAATTCTGATTTTATTAGAATAATCAACTTGTTATAAATTAAAACTTAGCTAATTCAGGCTTATTTATGATTTTTTTAGCATAAAATGATTTAACTGCGCTTCCATCTCAATGTATTTTGTAAATAAGTAGTTTGCACTTTTATTTTGAATTCGAATAGGACCGAATTTGAATGCAAGTATTTGAGCAGGAGTAATATCGAATTCATACTTTTTGTGATTATGAAATCATAATAGTTATATTGAAACAGTGTCTATTTGAAAGGCTACATTAAAAAACATTTAAATTTTGCGTATGCTTGGGATAGGATGTCTTCTGAATAAAAGATAATGTTTTTATATCTGGAGCGTATTTAAGTTTCAGACATTAATCATGTGAAAGGTAAGTTTGTATAATGAGCCTCTCTTTGTTCACGGGAAATAATTTATTTTAAGCCGATCTGTGGTAAAGCTTGACCATATAGGTATGTATTACCCTTTTATATTTACATGTAATTTGAACATCACGCTATTCTTGAAAATTAGTACACTAACTTAATCATCAGTACTTAATTGACCTAAATGCATTGTACTGAAATGCAAATGTGATTGGTTGTAAACTTTTAAAATACAAATTTTGGATTTTATATGATGATTTTTTTACATTAAAAAAATTTAACGTTAATTTAGCTAAGTTTTGAAAGAAATTTTAGCCTAAGAAAATCAACTAGTATTAACCAGCAATAGAAATTTATCGAGAATCTAAAAAAAATTAGCTTTTGAAATGTTTTGCTTCATTCTAAAAATTAAACCATTTTTAGTTCATTAACACTACAGCAAAATTTTGGGTTTACAGTACTTCTGTGTGAATTTATTGCAAAGTTGCGGTTTAAAGATAACAGATCTCAGTCGGCCTCAGCTAACTTGTTAAGAACGATCTTCTGGATTATTCTGCTGCGGCAATAAAAAGCACGGATTTATATTGCAGCACGTCGTTTCTTTAATTGTATCTTTTTGAAAGATAAAACAGCAACTGTCATACGGGATAGATAGATATCATGCGCTTCCTAAACTAACTGTAAATTCGTATCTAGGATGTGTTATTTTATCTTTAAAATCATTCTAAATAAATCAAACAACAAAAACATGAAGAGAGAACTCAGTAGCGAAGACCGAACATATCTTAAGCAATATGCTACTTAAGCAATGTAAAATCTCCATTTTACTCGAGTTTTTGAGTAAAATGTATGTATTTCAAATCAATATTATTTATTAACTCGACAAGATACACCTTTTAAGTTTTTAATTGTTTCAAATTAAAATGAAAATTTATTTTCTGCGAAATTCTCTCGACTAAAAGAGCTGGATTCATCTCAAATAATATGATATTATACGATAATGGGCTTTTGATGCTTATTGCAGACAGGATTAAAAAGCTGTTTAATCCAAACCGTATCCAAATTTAAATTAAAGGTGTCCTTCATGTCTGTCTTACGGTTCCGATCTCTCCTCGTTGATCTCACTTCAGTATGGTGCTTTTTGTCGTGACAAGGTTTCTTCGGCGACATTCAAGTCATAAACTGCGATACTTGTTCATTTCGATAGTCGGAATATCCTTGTCTTGTCATAGTTCTTCTCCCGTTAAGAAAAGATCTTTCACGGTTAAATGCTCAATTGGTGATCCGTAAAGATGAATATGATACACACTGGATTGCTAAGTACGAGTACATCCTACATTGTTGCTAACTGTTATTTACTGAACAATTAAGGGGTACATATTACAAAGATTTTACCGGCAAAATAGATTTGGGGAAGGGGGAGGAAGAAGAAATTTTTTTTTTTTTAAATGAGGTAATTTGGGATATTGATGATTGTATGGAAGGGATTGTATAGAGGATGATCGTACAGAAGGGACCTGTACTTAAAAGATGCTTTAAAAGCTCTGTCAGTATAATGAAATGAAATCAAGTTATGGAAAATGAAAGAGATTTCTTCAGAGTGAGTTGGCGTTTTGTTGATGATTTTAAGATATTTGATTGTGACTATGTTTTCATTATATTATTTCTTTCGCATCCCTTATTTTTCAGTGCGATCGGCAACCTCGTATGGCTCAAATTTTTAGTTATTTAATACCTTACGAAAATGCAAATTTAGTTTGAACTGTTGAAAATTCGCGTAGTTTAATGCTCATTTAGAGTTAAAATTTTAGAGGTACCTAAATTTACTCTTAAATTAGATGCTACTATATACAAATTACATGCGACTACTATTTCAGCAATGTATTAAAAGCAAAGGAAGGTTTCTTTGCGTTTAATACATTTAAGGTAATGTATTAAAAGCAAAGAAAAGTGCTAATTTTACATGTAAATAAATATAAATTACGTTTAAAAATAACATCATTTCTATATGATTGAAATTCATTTCTGTGCTGATATTATTTTTGTGAGTGTGAAAATGGCAGTTTTCGCGCCAATTTTCTATAATTAATACCCAGTTAACAAACTGTGAAATTAGAGATTTAACGATTATATTAAAATTAAGAATTTTTAAACCTGTAGCAGGAAAAATATATTTGTTTTAATGCAACTGCATTTTTTTTAAAATTTAAATTTTTATTTATTTATTTATTTATTTATTTTTTGTGGGTCTTCTCATCTTGTCCTCTTTATATGTACTACATTATTTTCAAAATCGCACCCAATAATTCATTTCACCGCATGTTGGCAAACTCAGCTAGATAAACCAATTTGTAGTAAGTTAAAGATGTCCATAATATGTGTAAGGAAAATAAATGTCATAAAGCAGGCTGAGTAGATGTGATGAATGTGCTCTGGTATTCAGACAAAGGAATTACCAGTGTTGAAATAAACAGGTTAATGGTGAAGAGGTTGAAGAATTTGACTTGTAGTTTAGGTCAATTCTCTCACCTTTGATAAACGACTGCATTTAAGAGTTCCTGGTTGAACCCATCATCGCAGTGAACGAGAAATTTAAAAAAAAAAAAAA